ACCCAAATATTAGTTTAGATCATTAAATGGTGCAATGTATGCCACAAGGGAAATTTTTTTTTCCCTATGGGTTGTTAATTTCCCTTAGCAGTCAGACCTTTCATCTCTAGTGAGCCCTGGTTCTTATCATACTCCTCAGGGGTGGAGTTCACCATTTAAATCTATTGAGATAAACAAGTCTTTCCTTTCAGGCCTAGAAGAATCAGATCTGTAGTTCTCATCATCCTGGTGCTATTGCTGCTCTCCTATACATTTTCTTCCCTCTCTATCTGCTCTATCTGTTTTCAGATATCAAAGAAATTTCTCAGTACATAACCCCTTGCCTCCTTTTCAGACTACTGCTGTGGATACAACCCATTTTTTTCCCCATCAGTAAACTCTTTCCTAGGTCGTCAGTGTCACAGAATCATAGACACATAGAACCATCAGGGTTGGAGGAGACCTCTAAGATCATCAAGTCCAACACTAACCTGCCACTTTGCTGCAACCCTTAACCCCTAAACCATACCCTCTAGCACCAGTGTCTGTCTTCATACTTGGCTTTCTGTAGCTTTTAATGTTTGTGAGATTTTTTTGTTCCATGCTATGTTCTTCTCTTAAAAGTTGCAGTCTTTCTAGCCCCTCTCTCAGTGTGTTCCTACAATGTTTTTTTATAAGGAACATAAGTAAAATTTGAAAGCTTAGGACATTAAAATGGTTGTCAGGTTGCAGTCAGTACTGCAGTTTGGCTAAACTTTTTTTGTCCATTCATTTAGCTGTCATACCTATATGTACAATTGTCCTCAAGAATAGATCTCTGAGTAGAACATTAGAGACATGATGTCTGTATCAATATGATTAGCTTTGATAATTTTCTGCTATCCTTGATTCTTAGTGACCTATGGAAAATCAGTTCTTAGGGTTTCCTTCTTTGAAAATAATGTTAGATATCTTATTTGTAAAATATTCTAAGAGATTTAATGAGAAAAAAATGGTATGTGAGAGCTCAGTTGCTTTCCAATATTTTATTTATATGTACACACAATGCATTAAGAGTTACTACATGTAGATCTGTAATAGAGTAATAGTGAGAATTAACATCTTGATATTTGGATCAGAAAATTTCCATTCCAGTGCCTGAAAGATTATGATCATACCTATTATTTGTGTACAAATTTGTGAAATTACATTGAAGGAAAAGCTTTACATTGTTTCTTTGAGAATACTTCTAACAGGAACTCCTGGGTATATGCCATGTAACATCTATTTCTACAGAAATCTAATGTTTGAATTGAATGTGATCAAGTGGCCTTGTACATCCTCTGGACCCTGTGTAGAATGCAATGGAGTCCAGATTTCATTATTATGGTTTATTATGGAGGGGTTTTTCTCTTTTGAATTTATGAAATAATGTGAAAGTTGTATTGCAGCCCAACAGAACAGTGTTCTCATGTCACAGAAGGAACTTACATGCTGCAGTGAGTTGCAGTGTGTGTAGTGTGAGGCTATTAAGGGGTGCATAAGGATCAGTGGGCTGTTGGAATAATGTTGAGGCACTCTGAAAAGTGGGAGGAAACAAACCTGGTGTACTCTTCTCCGTACTGCCTGCTGAGAAGGGTCCCTAGTGTAATAACACTGACTGTGGCTGAGTGTTATGTGAGAGAGTTCTAGTTTGCCCAGACCAACAAAATACCAGGGAGAGTGCCAAAATTCATCAGTGTGTACAGTCGGTGTTCCAGAGACCATGCTTGCTCCCCAGTCTTGTTTTATTTAACAACCAGCAACGGCAGGACATGAAAAGATAAATTGCTAGAGAAGAGCTCTGCTAATAATCTGTAATAAGTTGCATTTCAAGAAACAGAAACAACTATAGATTGTATTCTGAATAACTAGAAAGTCAGTGGAAGTCAATGGAAGAAGTGATGATGTGAATCTTTTTTTCTGAATACAGAAAGGCAGAAGTATCAGTCATCACCGTATATGTACTGAACATTAACTTATTTTTTATGCAAAATATGCATTCATTTGTAATTCCCTCATAATCACAGATATGTGAGTTTATTTCTGGTCTTGGGCTGTATCTAGATCTCAATTTGCCACTGCTTTGGCAGCTGGCAAATGGACCAGGTGACGATCATTTTGTAGTCTATGGTGGTTTCCCTCTTTGAACCACTGAAGACTTTACTGATGTCCTTCAGCTGCATTAGGGAAGTTCAGGGTACAAGCAAATTTTTTATGCAGCATTATGTAGGAGAAAGATAAAACAGCTGCTTACTTTACCCACTGATTATGTCAATATATGAGTTGGAAAATTAAAAGACATGCAGGCACCATACCTCTTTGTAATCTGTGTTCCATAAGAGTATTTTCTTGTTTTAGAAGTATTTTAGAATAGATCACAGAGATTGTTCATGTGCAGTATTTAATTAAATGTAGAAGACCTTACATATATTAAAGAATAAGCTGCTTAAAATTTGAAAAATAAGAATATGCTTTTCATATATCTTAACATTAGACTGGCAGAGCTTAGCAAGAATTTCATGGGTGGGCATGGTCTATAAGTATGGCCTTAAGGCCACTGCTTAGTCTATTATACAATAAATTTATATTGAATTTCAATGATATCAAGCTTGATTTCTTCAATCAATTGACTTGATTATAACACAGAACACTTTTCTCCCTAGTCTAGTTGCAGAATAATGTGGAAAGAATTCATTTCTTAACAGTAAGATAATAAAAAAATTAGCATTAATTAGAATACCACAGTATGTTTTGATAAAATTTCATAAGCCCAGATTAATCAATATGGAGGAAAGTTAAACAGAGGTTTTATAAAAATGAAAGAAACAATTCTGCATGTCATATGCTGTAGGTATATAGGAATAATTTCCACAACCCTATGTTAAGAAAAACCCCAACAGATTTACTGTATATATTTTAATCACCACTGCATGTTATTAAAAATGGGGTTTAATTTATTTGTGGGGGACAGGTATGTGTGTAGTAAATAACTTCGTAAGTATGGCATTTTATAACCTCTATGGAAATATCACTTCCATAGCATGATGAGCTCATGCTGTGTCAGACTTTTTCAGATGAAAGAATGGTTTCATCTCATTCTGGTTCCAGTAAGGTTCTGTAAATTTAATAAACAGCATAATAAACATCTGGTGTCATCAGTCATAAAAAATATACATTGACATAAACAAGTAGAATAGGACTTCAAAACCTACAGCAAATAAATATGTAAATAGCAATCTTATTTCGCACCCACTCCAAGTGAGAAGAACAACACCTAGTGAGTTTCTAGGAAATTCATCATACTGGATATTTCCAAGAAGATTGGGGTTGGGTGTTGTGGAGAAGTAGAGGACTTCAATGTTCAGTTCATGGCTTAGCAGCAAGGGTATCACTTCCTAGCTCATCTATATATTTCTTTTGTGAAACCTGTTACCAAATATCTTATGGTATTATGCTGATGTGGGACTATACTACTAGTTTTTCTTAGCTCCACTGTCAAATAATATGCAAAACAAAATGTTGGCAGATGTGGCTTAAAATGAATGTTTTAAAATTTTGCAGAGGTTGATAGAAGGTGTGGCATGAAGAGCAGTAACCTGAAAAAGAGCTTGTATCCAGTTCAAACAAAAGCTTAACTCGTCCATTCAAATATGCATGAAACAGTCTGATGAACTAAAATATGCCACACTAGCTGTACTATTGGACTAGATTTTCACAAAATTACACAGATTTAATTTTCCATAGATTATATTAATCCATTTAATGCTGTAGCTACAGTGGTTATAAAGCAAATTACTTGTTTATTTGTAATAGGAAGAGAAACCCAGCAGATACATTTTTATACTTACCACCCCTTTATTGTTTGCTAAAAAACTCCAAGCTCACAACCACACAATTTGGAAACTGTGTGACTGTTATTCATAGATAAGCAGTACAAGAGGAAAGCTCTTTTCTCCTAATCTCTCTCCTTTTCTCAGTCTCCATCTATCTCTCTCTGCAACTGCTCATGACTCTGATTCTCACTGTCTCCAATTTTATTTGATTTGTCTTGGACTTTTATTCAGGGGCCAGTACTTCTAAAGTGGTGGCAACAAATTGAAAATAAATTTTACACGTGTGGATATAATATATGACTATATATTATTTCTTTTCCTGCACGCTCTTTATGCGACTTAATTTCATGTTCTTAAAGGGATATGAGCTGCAGCTTCCTATCCTTGTTAGTGCCTATAAATGCTCTTGCAATGTGTGTGTAATAAACGTTAGATTCCCCTTGACTGCAATATATGCCAGATGGACCTGTAGTAGCGTAATGGTGACAAAATCTTATGTCACTATCTCCCCTTTGCTTACTTACCTTTAATGTCTACTAGTTTAGAGCTTGTAATATCCTTCCCTTTCCTGCCCTCCCCTTACCTTCCTCCATCCCTCTTCCCTTCCCTCTTCCTCCTGACCTTTCCACAGCATGGGTCTTCGACCACTATCCTTTCAGATGTTTTCTGAAAGTTCACTTAAACTGTCAAACCTGTTGCAAGTAGCAAAACATGAGTCGTATTTAGCTTTTACTAAAGACCTTTTAACATTCTTACGATAGTCATGAGGATTTTGAGTTGTGAACAAATTCCACAACTCATATCCTCAGAATTCCAGGTATTCAAATTGACAAGTGTCCATATACTACCAACAGGATAACATGGGATTAAAACACTTTCAGACTGGACTCAAAATGTTTGTCAGAGTTCATTTAGACTCTAGTAAAAGCACAAGAGTTTAATTTATCTTATTTGAGTAATGCTAATTACTTTCCACTGCCTTATCTTTTTCCTCTGTTGACCACAGGTACTGCCTGACAGATTTTAATTCTAGACTGTGTGTTTTCACAGATTAGGACTGTCTAGTTTTAAGATGCCCTGTGCTTCTACTTGATGGGAAACAAACAGTTAATTACGTTTTTTCGTATTTTACTTCATTGAAATGCTATTCTGGTTTTAATGTTGCAGATAATACAGCCAGTATTGTGACAAGACGAAGGAGATATAGTCGAACCACTCAAGATGTTTATTACCTGCCAGTTTTGATTTCTGATGGTGGAGTGCCCCCTCTCAGCAGCAGCAGTACCCTCACCATTAGGGTTTGTGCATGTGAGAGAGATGGACGAGTGAGAACTTGCCATGCTGAAGCTTTCCTCTCCTCAGCTGGTTTGAGCACAGGAGCTTTAATTGCAATCCTGCTCTGCGTCGTCATTCTTCTTGGTAAGCCATTTTCAATATTAAGTAATGCTATCCCTCTGCTGGCTCTCTGAATGTGACAGGGCAGAAATTTTTAGTACGGCATGCTTTTGAACCAGTGGCTGCCTGGTAGTAGGAGGTAATTAGAAACACATAGCTGTGATTAGGGGGGAAAGGTTTAGCTAAAATTAATAGGGGAAAATGCCTTTAAAGTACATTCATGAACATTTGGAATCCACTAGAAATTATTTTTCAGAGGTTATCAAGTAATTAGCACTGCAGATCTTTTTTCTGTGATTTGGAAAGATTTCAAAAAGCAACTGACTCTAATTCCATGTCCAGAACAGTGTGAAAAATGATAGAAAAGAGATGTGGAAAGCTTTTTGAAATTTATTGCACTGTAAGAAGTACCATTAGCACTGTACAAAAGCCATTTCTTAATTACCTTTGTGGGATAAGCTGTTAGCAATGTACAACATTATCCACAGGGGTGAGAGGCATATGAGACTGTAAGATGGCCCATAAGATAAATACCATTGCATGTGCATTTTTTCTTGACTGCGTTTTTGGTTAGTTTTGTTGGGGTTTTTTTCCCAGACAAATGTATATGTTATCTATTGGTTAATATTGTTTTGTTGGTTTTTTTTTTCCATCAGAGGCACAACTTGCTGTGTACATACCTCTGTGCTACTCATATGCCTTTCTTCATTGTTATAGAGATAGTAATTGCCGTGTGAACCATATAGGAGATTCTGAGAAATTTTGACTTTTCTCCAAAAGACTCTCTATTTTCTAAAGACTGCTTTCATTACAGCTTACTTCAGAACTTCCTTGTCAGAAGGCTGTTTTAAAATACATAGTAATACTTTATAATTTTATATTTTATCATACAAAATTGTATATTCATAAGAGAAAAAAATAAACCTTTTTCATGGTAATTCAATATATGTGCTAAATATTGGTTTTAATGAAGCACTGAAAGCCCTTGACAATGCTTCTTAAAAATGTCAGCTCCAGTTACTCATTTCTCATTTACCTGAAAGAAGATTGTCTCCATTTATGTTCTTTATAAGATCCCTAATAATCTAAGTAGCAGATTTCATTATTGGCTCAAGAAATTCCTGCAACCCCCCTGCACCCCCCAAAAAATTAGCCCAAAACAACAAACAAGTGAAAACATTAGAAGAGTGGTCTTTGCTGACACTCTGGAGGAATAAGTAAGCTCTGTTCCAGATTGTACAGGCATGTTACAGACACATGCCAGATGAAATGATTCCAAATACCAGTATTAGCCTGAAAATATTACACCTCTGTATTTTTGACTTAGTGTCTGCTATTTCTGTAGCATATATCATCTTAATTCAGAAGTAAGCTGTAAACCTAATCTAATATCTGCAGTTTTCTCTTTAGCAATTGTGGTCCTTTTCATCACCTTAAGACGTAGCAAGAAGGAGCCCTTGATCATTTCAGAAGAAGACGTACGGGAAAATGTTGTGACATATGATGATGAGGGCGGTGGAGAGGAAGATACAGAAGCATTTGACATCACAGCACTGCGGAATCCATCTGCTGCTGAAGAGCTAAAATACCGGAGGGATGTTCGTCCTGAAGCAAAGCCTGTGTCAAGGCATCATCCCTCCTCAAGCCTTGACAGTATAGATGTTCAGGAGTTCATTAAACAAAGACTGGCAGAGGCTGATCTGGACCCCAGCGTGCCCCCGTATGACTCCCTGCAGACATATGCCTATGAGGGTCATAGATCAGAAGCTGGATCTATCAGCTCTCTGGATTCGGCCACAACACACTCTGACCAGGATTATAATTACCTTGGAGACTGGGGACCTGAGTTCAAGAAGCTAGCTGAACTCTATGGGGAAATAGAATCAGAGAGAACAACTTAGTTGTAACTCCCAGAACAGAGAAGTTCCTAAACAACTGGACATATAATGACAGCAATGGTAACAAAAAAAAAAAAAATGAATACAATACTGGAACTGAGTAAGTTGTATGCAGTTACTGTAGAACAAGTGCCCTTTTCATATTTGAAACTGGGTTCTCCAATTGGAAGAAAGTCAAATTTTGAAAAATACAGAAAAAAGAAACTATTGTCCCTTGTGTATTTTTTTTAATTGCTCAATAAAGTCTGTGGTACCGTATCTGCAACAATACCTAAAGTAAAGCCAAGCAATGACATTTTTATTGCAATATGCTTAACATCTCCAAGCTACAGTAAGTTTATGGTCATGTCTGTTTAGGAAGATAGCTAACGAGGAGCAAATCTCTTGCAGGTGGCTGTGATGTTGCAATTCTAGCTGTGCTCTAGGCCTTGTGATTCCAATGTGAGGTAGCCAATGGGGTTTACTATCAGTGTGAGAAAAGCTACCAGTCTGTTTCCTTTACAGAGGTGATAAGCCACACCTGTCCTCCTAAATAAATGGTCCTTTGATGATTTAATCTTATTGAATTAGCAGGTTGCATTGAGAAGCTGTCATTTCATTATGTCCTTCATAATCTTGTCATCCATAACCAGCTAACAGACGGAGGGCATCATTAGCTATAGCTCAAACATGGCTCTAGCCCATAACCTGAGACCTACTCTGTTACTGCGTGCTAGAGGAACTGTTGTTTCCAGTGTTGTGCTTTTTTCTTTTTGTCTTTTCACAGAAACATCATTCATTTAAATGGAATGGGCCCAAAGTACTCTTTATGCAGCGAAGCAGATGAAGCATAGGCTCTTTCAATAAAAACAACAATGGTAGCACCATTAAACTATGCAGCTGTTTGGTTCACTGTGCTTCACTTATGTCAGGAGCTGCAGCTTTGTAAGCCTATTGCTGGTCTGAGTTCAGGAGCTACAACAGTCAATTTAAAACAGAGTTCTTAATCATAATGTCTTTCTATTTCTGTTTGTGGCTAAAAGCAAAATAGAGCTGCTGGTAAGACACTGGGATAGCAAAAATTGAAACAGAATTAGGTGATGATGTTTTTTCTTTTGAGTTCAATCTACTGATATTTATTTCTCTTAGAGTAGTTTCCTCCTAAGAAGCTTTTTTCCCCCCTATTTCAAGCATCATGGGAACAGGAACACTTTAAGTCAGTGGAGGAAATGTACCATTATTGTGGTTCCTACGTATAAAATAAATTGATTTCTTACGTTAGTAACTTTATAGCATTGCAGAACCGCTAAACAGTTCTGCTTAACATCACAAGCTGCTTAAGATCTCATCCAGGAAATTCTGATTTTTCCTTTGTTGTGTTTGAAACTTTAACCTTTTGTTTGTCTTTCTTGTGATATTACTGTGAGAGGACCAGGAATTCATAATATCCCATGAAAGATTATGACCTATATGGCTCACCATCTTATACAGTCCTCTCCTAAGAACATTGTAGTGGACCTCTTCCAGTATGCATTAAAACCATCCAGAGCAGAAACTGAGCACTGTTTTCTTGCTCTCTGATCTGGTGTGCAGAGTGATACAGATTTGTACACTCCACTAGATTCTTCTGTCTGCATTTTAGGTGCCACTTACATTCAGTTTAGTAGAGAAGGGTCTATATTATTGCTGATCTACTGTGGGCCACACAGGCGAACCAGATTATTAAGCCTTCCCTTCTTTACTCTATGGTTGTGTAGATCCTAGACATGACTGAAACTTCTGATCAGTTCTACTTTGAGGATATTTTTTTGAGATCTTTTTATAAATTGAATCCTTCCCGAGATGTAGTTGTCTGCTTTTGGTTTAAACAGCCTCCTGGAAAAATTAGCAAATAGCTTTGTAAGAAATTTTTCACACTCTAAAAAGTATTAGTTGCACTGTAGTTCCAGAATTGGTTTTCACTGTGCTGTTTTGTTTGAAATTGTAATGTTTTCCTTTCAGCATCTGAACCCACAAGAAAATTTAGAAGGGAAAAACCCCTGAACCCTAAAATGTTCTGCTGATTAATTGAAAGTAGTTTAATAATTTCCTTTCAGATTTTTTAAACCTTCTTTATCACACACAGAATCTTATAGAAATGTATTTGAGGAGACATTCTTACTGTAGAGTGAAGTTAAACAGATGTCTTAATGCAGTAAGAGTTACACATACTGTCTTTTCTGGGGTAGAGTTAGGACATGTTTCAGTTTTGTCCCAAATGAAGCAACTGGTAGTGAGTGATTTTATTAGAAGAAATTTTCTTTTGATTTAGGTCACACTTGCTTAATGCCAACATCTAAATTTTTATATTGTATGAGTAGAGTGTTAAAAAGAAAATCTTTCTGCATTACTACTACTACCATGGGCCATAATACTTTATACCACATCTGCATGACAATTGCATTCCTTGTTGTATTATAGTTTTGAGAAACACATAGTAGTTATCTTTATGTCTGTTCCCTCTGGCCCTACACCAAAACAGGGAAAATCAATTGTATTTTGTGTTTTAAGCAGTGTTCCCACCACTTTTTTCCTTTATTTGCATCATAGAACATTCAGGCTTAAAGCCAACAGAAGTACAGTGTCATAACCAAATAGTCACTCCTTATGTTTAAGTTAATATCACAGAGAAGTAAGAATCCCCTTTTCACCATTCCTGGTGGTCTCTGCTGCTGTACAGCAAGCACATCACACTCCCACCCCCAGGAATTCTGAATCCTATAAAACTCTGCAGGGTTATTGAGACGTTGCTTCAGTGATGCTGCGGTGTGTCCTGTTTGGTATGTCCTATCCACAGTGATCGCCAAATGTGCTTTTCTATCATGATATGTCTGCATGCTTGCTATGCTTACTGTTTTTTACTCAAATACACATCACAGTGTCGTGTTGTTTGCATGACAAATAGCAGAATATTAAATCTTCAGGGCCACAGAAGAAGGCCTCAGTGCAGAAAGAACAGGTTTACAGATTTATCATCCCAATCCTACATGTTTTTCCTTTGGTCCTTTTGACAGTGTCCTAGAAACAAATTTAAACTATATTTAAGGATTTCCATGTTAACCTTGATTAAAGTGGAAGAAAATTTACACTGTATGCCATGAACAGTACCATCATTTTGTAGCATTGCTGATTTAAAAAAAGTATACATTCAGTGCAAATATTGTGGGAAACTCTTTCCTAATTTATGGTTAAGTCTGATTGTATAGACTTTGCTTAAAGCTTTCATGGATCTTTTGTGTACTCATTTTCTCAAATATTTTCCTATTAGCCTAAATTGTAATCCTGTTGCCACAGAACAACTAAATGCTGAAAACTGTCAGTTTTACTTAAACTGGAAGATACTGAGTAAAGTTAAATAGCACATGCAAAGAGATACTTAAGGGCTTTCCAATTTGCTATTTGATTTCTGCAACAGCTATTAGACTAATAGTACATTTGCACCAAATTAATTAGTTCCATTCCTTCAAACAAACCCTCTTTCTTGTAATGGTGAGGGCACTCAGTATGCTGTAATTTTGACAAGTCATCTGAGAAAATGGTTGGTATAAGAATTTTAATATGTATGACTCATATTGTCAATCTCAAACCTGTCAAAAATGTAGTTTAATGCACTTTAAAGACAAGGAAGAGCTTGAATTCAACTGGCATTAGATTAAGATTCATTCATTGAAAACAAATTAAATTGTTTATCAGTGTTACCTTTTATTACATACACACAGAGGACTGTAAATGTTGAAGGTAATTTCACTCTGTTATGCACTTTATTTTTTTTTTCATTCCTCTTAGGAAACCAAAATAATTGCAAACATTTTTGTGTTTGAAATCTAATTGATGCAGTTGTTTAAATTGTGATTACTGAAAGAACATGTCTATGTGAAAGTATTCTCACTGATATTTAAAAGGAATCACAAAATTTCTGTGGTCTAAGGCTGTGTAAAATCGTCCTTTAGAAGATCTAAGTATTGGACCAGTCTGGAATTAACCAAACTCATAAACTCACACAAAAGGTAACAAGGAGAATATTCTAAATGCAAAGAAGAATATGAAATTATGCTGCCTAGGGTTACTTTGTGGAGTATAAAGTGCTAAGACCTTGTACTTGCAGTACATATAAATGGCACAGTGCATTCTGAGGAACATTAGAAGTGTGTTGCAAGTTTTGGGCCATCCTTATTTTTCCAAAGTCTCCAAAAATATATATATATTTTTTTTAACAAAAGAGTAATGTAAAGTATACCTCCTTATGCAAGTGTTACTGATAGAAATTGTTACATTTTCTTTTAATAAACAAAAGGGACAAAATCTTTTATTCGTATTTTTCAAATAAAATATGCTCTTTGCTATGGTGATGGGTTATTGTATTCCTCATCACAACCAGAATGTGTTATTTTCTTTTCATTCCTGTAATCTACACTCACCAAAGAACTAGAACATCTAAAGACACTCTGTCTTCAAGAATCTGATATGATACAGTTGTATTAGTGAGATCAATGTCAGACACAGTATGGTAACTTTAACTAGGTTCTTAATGCCTGGTATAGTCACTCACTTGTGTCACTATTTCCAAGACTGTCATACATGATTATTGCTACAGATGGGTAGGGAGAGAGAGGCACCACGAGATACTTTGCAGCAGACTGCAGTGTAACTGCTAAATGGTTCATTACTTTTACTCGTGGTAACTATTCCACTCCAACCATCACTGTCCTGAAACTGAAATACAGTGTTATAGGATGAATACATTATCCACATGAGTGAGTTAGGGAATTGCATGTCTATGAATCCAGATTGGTTGTAACAGCCAGGGTTATTATCCTAAGTTGACACAGAAGACAAAAACAGGCAAGGACATTCACAATGAACAAGCTTAGGCACATGCAATGCAAGTGCACAGAAATCACTCAGTCTTTCTCAAAGGAATTAACAGGCTTTGCCAACAAATTACATCTTAGAAAATAATGGTACCATGGCTAACAAGGAATTTG